ATGTGTGTGTATGTATGTGTGTGTAATAAATGCTTTGACACTGAGAACTATTTGTTATAAAGAACTATAATTTGTCTGAACCTTCCCCACATCTTAAGTAATTTTTCATTGATATATTTTCTTTATTTACTTCTTGCTTGCATTCCTTCTTTCTCTTTTAATCTACCAACATTCTTATGCTGGTTTCTTTTTCTTAAAAAATTACATCTTATTCTTGAATGGGACCAGCTATTTGCTGAATGTTGAGTTGGGGGAGTAAACTGGGGTTAGGCCACAGCTATGATTTGGTTTTGTTGTCTTCAAAATCCTTTAAGCAAATCTATCATTAAATTTGCTCTGTGGGCCCATCTCCTCTCCTTTAGTTTTCTCTTTCCTTTTCCTTTCTCTTTTCTTTCTCTTTCCTTCCCTTTCCTCCCCTCACCTCCCTTCTCCTATTCTCTCCTCTCCTTTTTTGAAGATAAGCTCTGTGTAGTCCAGGCTGGCCTTGAATTCATTATGTAGCCCAGGTTGGCCTCAAACTCTGTGATTCTCCTGCCTCTGGAGTACTAGGATTACAAGCATGTACCACCACACTCAGGTTCCCTCAGTTTTCAAGTACTCTGGAGGTCACAGCCTTAACTCCTTGGTTCATGCTCTCTGGTTCCCACCTTACTCTTCACATCTAATATTCTCCTTATATTTGGAGGTCAGATCATAAGCAAAAGAAAACTGTATGTGACAAAGGTGCTCTTTGATCATCACTAGCCTTTCAGTTGCTTCTTAATTTTAGTATGTTATATCTATCTTCCAACTTTTACTGAGGATCCATGCATTTCTACTTTCTCTGTACTATATTCTTTGTTTTTATGATGTCAGTAAATTTGAGTGAACTTACAATGAGCCCCTGGAAGATGTAAAATTACTTCACCTATGAATGAGACTTTGAGTCAGGAAAATAATACTATCCTGAATTCTTAATCCCTAGTTCTGAATCTAAAACTCATCATATCAAGCACAATCTTGTTACTTTACTAAAGTCATGAAAAACTTTAACTGTTTTAAAAACTTTAAAAACTGTTTTTATTTATTCTATTTATGAGGCTATTGATCCTTATTGAGTACTTTCTATACCATGTATAATTCTTAGTGCGTTATATGGAATTAATCGTTCTGATGACCAAATGAGGTAAGGGAAGAGGTAAGATAGGATTTGAATGCAGAAAGTCTTACTCTTTAAGCACATATTCTTATCCACTCTACGGTTTCTCAACTAATTCTTCCAAATACTGCAATGTTTCTTCCATCCTAAAAGGAGGGCCTCACAGACACAGCTTTATCCATCACACTCTGATGTGTCTTTCCCAGAATACCAGGAAACAAAGATGCGAAAATACTGTAATTCCAGATGTGCATCTAAACATATCTGCTTAAAAAAAAAACCTGACAGCAATGTCATTGACAACAATAATTGGTTCCCAGGCATTCCCTTTACTTTCCTATTGCTTTAAATGTTAACTTATTAAAGAATTAATAAAAACAAATTTAAACAAAAATCCATACAAATGCAATGCACCTATTGACCCAAAATAAAAGTTCCACAAATTCCTCAAATAAGCACCCATTTTAAAGCCCGACTAGTGATGGACATATCTAAATTTATCATATTGAAAAAGGATAAAAGGGAAGGAAAGAATTAGCTTACGTCCCTTCGTATCACTCTGGACTCCTGCCACTGTTGTTCTTTATCACTTTGGAACCAGGGTATTTGAAGGGAAATAGTGAGGGACTGAGAACCTTCACGCACAGACTAATTACTGTTAGCTGCCATGCACACCGCTCTCTTCCCTTTTGCCTTCCTACACTCCCTCCTGGTGTTGATTACAGGACAATCTGGCCTTATACCAGAACTGGAAGCATGAGGACGTGAAACTGATCTAAACAAAGGGTTTGATAGATGTATAATTCCTTTCATTAAAGCTGATAGAAATTTTATATAAAAATCTATTTTAGCTGGACATGGTGGTGGTGCATGCTTGTAATCCCAGCACTTGGGAGGCTGACTCAGGAGGATCATAGGAAGTTTGAGGCCAGCTACATAGTGAGTTCAAGGCCAGCCTGAATTATATAGGGAGAGCCTATCTCAAAAATACCTATTTTATTATTAGCTAGGATCAAATTTCATTAGCATTTAGAATTCTCTTATATAAATGTGGTTTCTTTTCTTTTCTTTTTTGGTTCCAGAGATCGAACTCAGGACCTTGTGCTTGTGAGGCAGGTGGAGGAACCACTGAGCTAAATCCCTGGTCCTGATTTCTATTTTTTAAAATTTTATTTTATTAGTACACATTTGCAGTACATGCATTTTACAATCATTTTGGGGTGCTGGTACATGTTCATAATACAGCTTGTTTTTTTTTAATCCTCTCCTCTCCCTCTCCCTCCTCAATGTGTGATTTCTATTGAATTAGAAGTCTGTGAAATGTTGAAGTATTCGAAGAGTGTTTTGGTTTAGGAACTTGGGAGGGTCATGGATTACCCCATCCTACTCACTACTCTCACAACCCTCAAAAAGCACCATGTATAATTACCTGTTCTTCCACATTCCTCAACCATATCACACCAAATTTGGTAAGTTTCCTTCTCTCCACCATGTTGACTTCTTTGTCCACTTTCCTTCATCTTATTTCCTTTAGCAAAGTCAAATTAGGAAATTCAGGACATTGTAATAAATGACATTTCTGTAGAGTAATGAGTCACCCGGAAGCTGCATGGAAATGGGGTAACTGCGACAGGGGATCATGTGAACTAAGATTTTGTTCTGCTCCACAGCAACAAGCTGCCTGCCCATCTCTTGAAGTTATGGCACTGGCAGCTCTCTAAATGGGCTATGAAGAGTAAAAACATCCCTAACGAAAAGTATTATCATCAAAACTTATGTCCTGTGTAACCAGACAAATATTCATTCACATATATTAGAGATTACAAAATGTACAGACTGTGCAGTTGACTTGAGCCAAGAGGGTTCCTAGAGATAAAAATTCAAAGTGAGGGAAAAAGCAAACCTTAGAAATCTTTAATTTTATTAAAAATATGGAAAAGAGAACTAAAACATATTTGTGATGTTTTTATTTGAAAAACATTATATCAATTAGTCATGTCAATATATCAAAATATGTCAACCCTAGGCTGTGCACAGTGGCACATGCCTGTAATCCTGGCACTCCCGGGCATTGAGGCCAGAAGATCCCAAGTTCAAACTCTGGACCATTTAGCAACTTAGCCAACCTTACACTGTATAATAAAACAAAAAGCTAATCATCTAACATCAGACGTTTTTGCTATTTCTAATTATTTGCAACACTATAAATCTTTATAGTATTTTATATACATATATTCATGATTAATTTAAGGATTTCATTTAAACTTCTTTTGTACTTTTTAGTATCTTCTGATTGAGAAATTAATGATGACCAAGGCATATGAATTCAGAATGCATATTAGATGACTTGTACATTTGAAAAATAGTACTAATTTATGTAGGCTATTAACAATGGTTGGTGTGTGTCTTACTTTGGGCTGATATAACAAATACCATAGACTCTGGAGGTTAATAAACATTTATTTCTAACAGTTCTGGAGGCTGGATGCCAGCCTATCCAGGCACATGGTGAGATTCCTGATTATGTTATCACCTGGCCCTTCCTTGGTGTAAGCATGGAGACAATGAGCTCTGGTCTCTTCCTCTTCTTGTAAGGGCACTAATCCCCTTATGGGGGCCCTCACCCTTATGATCTCCTGTAGACCCAATTATCTCTCAAAGGCCTCATCCTCAAAAACCACCACACTGGGGATTAGGGCTTCAACATATGAACCGGTTGTGTTGGGGGGTGTTGACATAAGCATTCATTCAGTCCATAGCAGTTACATACGGATTTTTGCAGATCTTTGCCAATAACTCTGGCCCACAGATGAAGAACCATTACTGCTTACTAAATGTCTTGATTTGAGGTAGGGATCTCAGCTCAAAACTCCCCAATTTCTGGACTTCTACCAATTAGCAGTATATGGAGGGTTAAGGGAAATGAACAGATACTTTTACTCATTGTTGATTAGTATATTTAGAACCTGGCTTGGCTGAGTGTTGCAAAGCAAGTGGAGACTGGTTATGAGTACACGGTAGGGGTTTGAGGAGGGAAGGGAAAGCAAGAAGTAACTTAGGAGCACAGTCTATGCGGTACTCAGAAGGGAGGGTGGCATGGGTGGGCATTGCATTGAGTAGTCTGGGGTAAGCAAAGAGCATCCGAAGGACACCGGGCTTCTGAAATGCTGTGAAGGGCAGGTAAAAGGTGGGGACAAGCAGGGCACTGGAAGAGAGGTTTGCTGGAAGGGATTGGTGTAACATAAACATTAATGATATTTTTGAGGAGCCAGCCTTTGTGTAACAAAAAGTTTTTACATTGGCACTTTACAGGAGTGAACATATAGAACTCATATGTTTGATTCTCTGGTTTGAAGAATAAAAATGAAAGAAATAGTAAAAAGATGATGCCAAAAATAAAGTGCAAAGCTTTAGTGCAGCTGAGAAAATGCATTGCCTTCTAAGAACTGTCATCTTTATTGGGGTTAAGGTATTCTGTGTTGCCACAGCAACTGCCAAGAAAAGTCCATTTAAGAGGGGCTCTGCAGCACAGCTTGTGTAGCCTGAATCTCAAATATAAAGTGAAAATGTAAAGTGACCATAATTTTCTTAGCACCCTTTAAAATATTCATTTCCTCTTCTTTCTTCACTATTGTTTTATCTTCTGGTTCTTTCTTCTAACTGGTGTCCTCCCTAGCTAAGTATGTAGTTCACTGGGAGCTCTGCTTCACCTGCTGGGTTTGAGGGTAGATGGGGCAGTTTCCACTGTGAGGGAACGAAGCCTGCTACTGCTACGCTACAGAATGGGCTGGGGCCCCAAGGCAAGGAGTGTCTGGGGAGTGAGGCAGGTGCTGACCTCAATCAATTGAAGAGAGGTATGGACTTGTTTCTGGAAAGCGTTACACTTTTAGTAATAAGGGACAATCCCGTGGAGAAAATGATGGCTTCAAAAGGAGAGGCTGCTCTATATCCAGCTTTGGGTAGCTCAGAAGATTACCTGACACCAAAAAGAAAACAAATGCCCAGTAAATCTGCTTGTAAGGACTAACACACAGTGAAAAAGGCGAGAAATAGCTAAGATACTCAAGGACTAGAAAATGACCAATAAACTGCCTAAATCTACTCATGAATCAAAGACGTAAATATCTAAAAAGATTGAGGTTGTGGTGTGAAATAAATATTTATGAATATTAAAATTTTGGACATTTTGCACCTAAACTGTACACTTTAATTCCTGACAGAGGTAAAAAGCTGAAACCATATTATAGGTAGTCTATACTTCATTCACCAGCATTCACTCAGCTTTCATGACAGCACTCATTCATTAGTCTTCTGGTAACTGTTAGCCACCTCCTCTGCTTCCTAGTCCACCCAGGTCCGAAGTAAAATCTGTGACAGGGTCCTGCACCAGCCATCACATCACAGTCCTGGTGCCATAACTCTGGGCGTGGACGCCTGATTCAAGTCCAGGTAACAGGATTCACTGCTGGCATGAAAACACAGACTCTCTCTCATTCACCAGACTTTTCCCCAGGGGATGTCATTCTGGAATTATCACAGCCATATTGCTACCATGGAGTAAGAACTAGCCCGAGATACAGCCAATCCAGCAAAAGAAGAGTTGAGAACTACAGTGAGTAACTAGGCCCTTTATCAAACTGCACTTGAAGTTAGCCCTGCCCTGAGAATTTTCAGTTTGGGTTGGATTTTTTGTCACTTGGGACCAAAACAATATGAATTTAAACCATGTAGAATCAGCAGAATATTAACCAGCACTCCTTTGCGCTTCATGCATAAGTTCAGGGGTCAGCAAACTTTATCCTGCAGACGGAATCTGGCAGACTGACTATTTTTGTAAATAAAGTTTTACTGTAACATAGTCATACTCATTTGTCAATGCTGCTTTCTCATGGCAATGGCAGAAATAAGTAGTTATGACAGAGACCCTATGGCTTGCAAGCCCTAAAACATTTGCCATTTGGCCCTTTACAGAAACTTGGCTGACCCCACACTAGACTGTGAGCTCCATAAGGTAGGGATTGTGTTAATTTTGCTGGCGGCTGCAGCCCTAGCATTTAGCATGGTGCCTGGCATATGATAGGAACTCAATAAATATTTGCTGATGAATGAACCAATCCAAACCTCAGAGCTCTCAACTGTTGGTGTTAAGTCCGTCTTTATCTTAAAATAACAAGATCTTCAGAAAGTGTAGAGTAAATTAATCACAAAAGCTTTTCTTAAATACAAAGAGCAGATTCTGTCATCACAGAATTGCAGTCCTTAATCAGCACAGTGGCTATTAATAAGTAGGCCAGCTTCAAAGCTGAGAAAGTCGGAGGCAAACACCAGGGCCTACAGTGCTGCTGAGATCAAAAGGGATCTTAGAGATTCACCCTGGAGGAGGGGTTGGTTTCTTGCATGCTCTGTTTCCTTTTCCACACTTCTTCCTCTTTATTCCCTATCAGACTTTCTACAGGGTTACTATGGTAAATGACTTGTGGCTCTCTCTTTTTTTTTCAAATTAAATGCCAGCCCCTCTCTGGTTAGAATTGTCATTTTCTCTCACTTCTAATGTTTTCCTTCTTAATAATATAATTCCTAAAGTTTGCTTAGGTTGACACATACTGTGAAAATGTCCCTCCTTCCAAGGGCAGACACACATCTTAAAGGACGACACTCCACACAGCACTTGTGCAGGCCTGGCAGGGGCCAGGCTGAGTGTGGAGTCTGGTGAGTGAACACCACACAGCATGGACACTTTGGGGGCCCAGCTTGTATGAGTGAGAAAGAAGCACCATCTCTGTTCTGCAAGGTACATCTCTGGAAGGGGCTGGAGAAAATCATACCTGGGGGGAGGGACAGGGTGCTGAGTGCTTCCATTTGCAGTGTCGGATCTTCCTCTTGGAAAGAGAGAAAGTGACAGCCCTTTTTGGTTGGGGCTAGACTTCCTGAAAAGATAGTTTCCATTAGTGGAGGCCCAAGGAAGACTACTGAGATTTTAAATTGAAGACTTAGAGAATGGGGCTGATATCCAGTGAGGCTGAAGGGAGTTTGGAGTCCCTCTGCTATTTACTCTTGGTACACTGAAGGTCAGAGATCTTGACATATAGTAAAGGTGCAGCAAGTATTGTTTTATGAATAAATGACTGAATAAGGCTGTGGTTGAATACATAGGTAGATGCCAAAAGTTTATATTTAATGTAGTAGAAAAGACAGTAAACGAAGAACAACCCATTTCTGAACATCTGATATAAGCACTTGGCATATAATTCCTTAGATATCATCAAGATTGTATTCAACCTGATACAGAATTTGGGAGAGAGATTTCAGAATTTTCAATTCATAGAGGAGGAAGAAGGCTTGCAGTGGGTAACTTCTAGAACCAGGACCAGAACCCATCCTCCAACCCTGCACTGTGCCCTTTTACTCCTGGGAGGTAGGAGCAGGGAGAACACTAATGTGGAAATGTGGTAAAGAAATTTCAGAGAAGGGACAGCCTGGGATTCTGGGGGCAGTGGAAGCTGCTGAAGAGATTTAGGAAGGAAAGGAGCTACTGCGGTAAGGGGTCACCTACAGGAAAGTCATATGAGAGCAACTGACAATTAACTGGCTGGTAGACTATAAGTAAGAGGTGAGTGAAAGGAGAATTTATACCTTCAGCCAGGTCCCTACAAGGGATAGTCACAGAAGAGCCAGGCCCTTGGGTAGAGGGAGCTGGTCTGGGGTGGGTAGGAGAAAACATATGGTTTTGGTTTGCTTTAACTGTACTTAGTTTGTGGTGCTGGTGAGACACTTGTGAAGAAATACACAAATGGAGCTCAAGAGGAAAGCCAGGTCTAGAGACTGAAGAATTATGGGCCACAGAGGAAGCTGAAGCTTTGAGAATGGAAGACCTCTCTGAAGGGGGAGGAGGGAATGAGAATGTCAGCTGAGCTACACTCATCTGTAAAAACCTCCCACATTCACTCATTCATTCATTCATTCATTCATTTACTATTTTTCAGAGAAAGAGAGTCTTACCACGTAGTCCAGACTGGCCTTGAACTCACAGTGATCCCCTTCCCTCAGCCTCCCAAGTGCTGGGATTACAGTCATGTGCCACCATATCTGGTTTGGGACTCCCATATTTAGGATAAAGGAGGACATGGAAGAAGGGAAATAGGAATGTCCAGAGAGGTGAGAGGAATGGATAGAGTGGGGAGAATATGGCTTTGGGTCTCACAAAGGAAGAGAGCAGGGGATGTCCCACAATGCAGAGCAGCCAAGGGCAATGGGCAAGTCACCAGACAGCTGCTGCCATTCACCTCAGATATCCTCACCAAAGAGGAACATAGCAACCTAGAGAGCTGCTTAGTCATAAGAGATCGTAGTGAGCAGCAATGATGCAGTAAAAGGAGTGGCATCAGTTTGTTGATAACTACATCCTTTCCTATTTTAAAGCAAAACTTACAATGAAAGGTCCAGACCAGTCAATTATCATTCAGAATATCTGATTTAGTGAGAGATTTTTGACTGTGTTTGAGGGCATTTTTTCAAAAGAGGCAAGCCACGACTGCTCTTTCTTTTCTGCATATTTAAACTCCTGACAATTATAAATAAGTTAAACCTCTCCCTCAAAGTAGCAATTATCTCCTTATGTTTGAGAAGCATGTCTTGCCAGATATGGTATTCTATACAAAACACAAACTAGAAATACAAAGGCAGTCATTGTCCCACTGACGCACCCAGGATTTACTCAGGCAGCTCTAATGCACACTAATGAGAATTCTGTGCATGGATTCTCTTACCTCCCAACTAACAGGAACAGAGACCTCACAACCTCACACAGAAAATTTCAAAACACCATTATAGAGAGTCACTGACTAAATTCATGAGTTGTTCACCTTTATACAGCAGAGAGAAAAGGGTTTTTTATTTGATTAAAAGTTGGGAAGTGTAATGTTATCAAAAGACTTCACTCAGGTTCCTGAAAGGAAAAAAACCTGACACCTTTTATATGTGATATAAAAAGGAGTTATGTACACTAAGCCAAGGAAGGGGACAGGGGAGATCAATAACTTCTAGGCAGAATAATGGAAGCCTTCATAGAACTGATGAGCTTTGATTTGGATGCTAATGGATGAGTAGGGACTTTCTAGGTTGACGAGAAGGAGCAGAAACTGCTGGTTGAGGGAAAAGCAGGAAGCACAGAGGTGACTACGTGTGGGTGACTGCAGGGTTGGGTATGGATGGAGGTCACCAGTGAGCAGGGGGTGAGCGAGACAGGTGCAGATAATTCAGTCAGGGATTTGAAAGTTGTGCCAAGGCATTTGGACTTTATTCTGAAGACAACTGACAAATTCAAAGTTTCTGATTGGGGACCAATACATTCTTATTTCCATTATAGGAAGAGACATTTAATATACTTGTCCTGCTTCTAGCATTTTCTACTTTAACTGGTCTCCACATAGTTTTCTATTTCTCTGAACTGAAGATCTGGTCACCTCCCACTCCATACTCTCATCTTTTATCTACAGATAAAGACAACCTCCTTTGCACAAATCATCGGGGAACTGTTTCATACTGATCTAAGCCTCACTTTACAGAAGCTGTGCTCCAGCAACAACCTGGCATTTCCGCCAAAAGTCCAGTACCACTTTGTGACTAACACCTTTGTACATACTACTCTGTGCTCCTTCTATGGCTTTCCTTCCCCATAAGTAGCTGGGAAACTACTCTCTCATCTCACATAGTACATACTCCAGGATACCCTCCCTAGCCATGGAGTTAAAGTAACCACTCCTTTCACTAAGATGCCTTGGTATTTTGCACATCTAATAGTTACACTGTGATGATGATGATGGTGATGGTGGTGGTGACAGTGGTGGTCTGGTGGTGGCGATTGACATCTGTTGAGTGTTTATGTATTAGCTACCATATTGCACTTTTTAGCATATATTTCACTGACTCTTCCTATGGATCCTTGGTAATACTTTTATAGCTATTTACATAAGAAGAAATAGGCTTGGAGAGTTACTAACTTATCCACAATCACACAGCTATTTAGTATCTGAGCTAAGGCCTTTATCTAGGTCTTCTTTACTCTCAAGCTTCTGCTTTTACTTCATTATCACATAATATTATAATTATTGATTTGCATACTGCTTTCTCCTATTAGAATGTGAGTTCCCTGAGGGTAAGTTCTGTTTTAACTGGAGATCAATGCTATTTAAGAAGTAAATAAGATTAAGTAATTATTTCTTTGAAGTCAGAATGTATTATATAGATTGTTTTTGCCAAAATTGAGGCATTTTTGCCCTATGGAGGCTGGTACATGAATGAAGCAGATTATACCAGAACAATGGATCTGGCTCCCTTAACCACCTACTCTAGTTAGTGGTTCACTTTCCATCTTTTTTTTTTTTTTTGGTATCGGGGATCAAACTCAGCACCTTGAGCTTGCGAGGCAGGTGTGGCGTCACTGAGCTAAATCCCGGCCCACACTTTCCATCTTTTTTTTTTGGTACCGGGGATCAAACCTGGGTCCTTGTGCTTGCACAGCAGGCGGCGAAACCACTGAGCTAAATCCCCAGACCTCACTTTCCATCTTTTAAGAGAGGCTGGGGTCCACACTTTTACAAATCAGATAAACTGGTAAATAAATAACTTGACTACTAGTTTCACTTTGTCTCCTCAGATAACCAAGCACAATTATATCAAAGTATCATTTCTGTTAGAAATAGTTATGAGAAAGTGTCTTTTAAAAAAGATAAATGTGGTGTTTCTGACTTAGACAAAACCAAAGCAGCCTTAAGAAACTGGAGTGAGAGAGCAGGAGTTATGTTAGATTGAGCAAGAGGTTTCGTCTTCTCATCTTTTTTCCATTATTATTTTCACTAGTGTGCTCTTTCAGGAATGCCTCAGTGTGTTCTTTATAAAACTGATGCCCAGATCTTTTTAAAAACACATCAAACCAACAAAGGTCAAATAAAGAGCAGGTGGATTTTGTTCTTTCAGTTGAAGGCATTTCTTTAATATTAAATATGTATCAAAATCTAGAAACATATTCTAATGATGTTTGAAAGGAATCCATGCTACAGAATAAAAAGACAAAGAAAAAAGCTCTCCACAAGCAGTGGTGGCGGCGGGGAGGGGCACTGTGGGAAGCCCACTGGGGCAGCTTTTTTCTTTACTTCAATGGCAGAGAAAATTTACTATTTAAAACTAGATAAAATATGTCCTAAACATTATCATTCTTCATATTTACTGGCCCACAAGGTAAAACACATTATGGTGAAATTTTCAACTGCCTCATTTATAAGTGAAGACAAACAAGAAGCATGCCTTTTCTTATTCAGATAGAATTCTAGAAGATTTGTTTTTGTTTTATTTCCAGCCATCAGAAGCTGCTATCAGAAGAATCTTTCCATGTAGCTGGAGTGCCCAAGTTGGTAACTTAGGACTCTATAGCAATTTCATTCCTTCTCTTTATCTTGCACATGTATTTAAAACAAACGGCAGCAGAAAGTCTAAGATTTGGGGATAAGGATACTGTTTTATCTTGCATTACTCTAACCTTTTTTTCCCTAGCTTTCAAAAAAATCTTTTTTCCCTCTCCTTCCTCTTGATGAATTAATCTTTCTTTCTCTTGGCCTTAGGAAGAGTTTAAATACCAGACAGATGACCCCAAGTTCCGTACCAAGAGTGGCTTATATCATCTTTGTCATGTCCAGTGATCTTGGAAATATGAATTGCTGTATTGTGAATTAGGCTAATATATACTTTAAATGGCCTTAAGGCAAAGTAAGTGTTTGAAGGAATGGAAACTTTGAGAAGAATTGTCTGAGATTTTTCATTTAGTCTACACGTGGTATAGCTTGACTTACTTTGGGGATCACATATGGTACCTGTAGGAAGTGTGTGTGGGTGGGGAAGGAGGGTGGCCAGAGTGGCTGG